TGTTTTTTCAATCTATAGTTTCATTACAGTTTTACAATCAAATGTCCCCATAGTGGGACAAATAAAGGATTAACTACATCTGGTCTCATTTTCAAACGTTTTTTTTACCGTTGATGGTAAAAATAAATAACCGGTAAATGATTGAAACGATTGTGTCCCTTCAGTTTTGCCTGTTGATTGAGTGTAAGTCTGTCCTTCACTTTTAACAGTCAGATATTTTCTCCTATGTTTCAGCCGCTGGTGATCCGGTGTGTGCACCTCCAGAGGCACCGGTGAACGGATACTGGCTGCCTGTGCACGGCCTCCACGAGAAGCTTGCGTCTGTGAAGTACCGATGTCATCCACCTTTCATTCTCACCGGCTCCCAGCAGAGGAGCTGTCTGCCTGATGGCATGTGGAGTGGCACCGCTCCCACATGTGTGAGAGGTACTTTCTCCCACCAGGTTTTTTTTTCTGGGCTTCATTTCTGAACACACTGAAAGCCACAAATTATTTTTCTCTCCTTTCTCGCTCATACAGACCAAACCAGCCGAGTCCAGTGCGCCCCTCCTCCTAAATTGCTCAATGGCTTCTACAGGCCGGCTCAGGACACAGCAGGGGGTGCGGGGGCGGAGACGATGGAGTTTTTCTGTAAAAACACTTTCGTGCTGATCGGAAACCACCAGAGCACCTGCCTCTCTAATGGATCCTGGAGCAGCAGGCCACCAAAGTGTGTGAGAGGTTGGTTGTTTTGAAAAAACACACGAGAGGTCGACAACTCACTTCATCACTGTGTCAACATGAAGAAGAAGAATTCCTTTCGATTTTCTTATTTCATTTTTTTATTTTACTTCACCTGCAAATGTTCATGTGAAAGAAAAACACATTTTAGAAACTAGAGCACAAGGTTGGATCTTGTTTATTGTGTCATTTTACTTTCTGAACACCTTTATTCATGTTATTGAAACCGAGCCGCTCAGCAGTGGAAGTGATTCTATGATAACAACAGTTGCCCTTTTGGTTTGCAGCCTGTCGAGAGCCCAAAGTGTCCGAACTTGTGCGACACGGTGTTGTGAAGCCGCATCTGTCGTCAAGGTAACGTTCATAACAATGTGCTGTGTGTATTTCAGTCATTTGACTACACTTATGTGTACAAATGCTCGACGTTGTTAAAGCAACACTGTGTAACTTTTACTGAGCAACAGCGCCCTCTGCAGCTGCAGTGTTGATTTGAAGCTAGTTGCCAAATTAACTTTATTAAACATCAAATGCATAAAAAATCAACAAACATCTTAATGTGCATCAAGACCTGATCAAACAATCCACCTTCAGGTAAATCTTTGAGAATGTTAGATTGAGCGAGGAGCTACTGAGACAAGCTGCAGCTCTTTCCCACAGAGAGAATCCAAACCTGCGGCTGCAGCTCTCATCCAGGTTCAACATCCACGATCTGTCGTCCGCCGGGTTCATCCCACCAACACTGGGCCGACTGTCCGCCATAGACAGACATGACGGCGCTTCGGATGAGCTTCCTCGTGGCTTTCACTCTGTCCACACGAGCATCGAGTACAAGTGTGCTTCGCCTCTCTACCGCCACACGGGGAGCTCCCGTCGCACCTGTCTGAAGACCGGCAGGTGGAGCGGGCGTCACGTCTCCTGCTCGCCAGGTGAGGTCACGCTGTGAGGTGAAACTTGAGTAAATGTATATTCTTCTATTAAATGAGTAATGTGAAGCATTGAATGGATGTAGAGTTCAATAAAACATGTTTCATCAAGTGTGGCAGGGCCTTCAAATATTTATTAAAAATCTCCTTGTCAGAATTATTGCAGTTTATTATGGATTGTAGTTTTTGACACTTTTTCCTCTTTGCCTGTTGCTTTTCTAGTTTGTGGCAAATTCGACACTTTCAGTCCTCGCAACCTCTCAGACACTCAGTGGCCGTGGCACGCAGCCGTCTACATCCGCTCGCCTCCTGATGGTACAGCCCGCGGCCACAGGCCCCATGGAGCGAGCGGCAGACGGGAGGCCTCAGAGGAGTCCACGTTCTGGCTCCTGGCCTGCAGCGGGGCTCTGCTCGCCCAGCGCAGCGTCCTGGTGGCAGCTCAGTGTGTGGTGGACAAGGACAAGCAGCAGCCGTTTCACCCTGCGCACGTGAAGGTTGTCATAGGCGTGCTGCACCAGGCGTCCAGGGCTCAGACGAAAAGCCAGCACCACCTCAGGGTACGCCACCGTCGACAACACGTCTGATGGAAATGCTCTCAGATCTTTGTTTTTAATTCCTAAAATAACTGTTTCATTGTAAAAGCAGCTAAGTTTGAGATGATGGTGGATTTATTGCATTTAATCCACATTTATCTCACGTTTAACCTCGAAGCCTAAACATGTTTTCACCTCAAATCCTCCAGTTACACTGGTTTTATTTTTAACATTTTTTAGGCGAAACAGCATAACAAAGTTTCCCATGAGCAAACAGCAGATGCAATGAAGAATTAAGCAAGAAATCTTCATTAAATAAATATAATCCTCTGGACAGGGTTTTGTTTTTACATGGTTACAGGGAGAAATCCTTCTGGCATCAGCATGTGCACTTAAAGCTTTACTGGGATACGACTGTATTTGATTTGGATTTTAAAATAAGTGCACATCTTGATGCATATTATCTGATCTCAACACTTATTCCAAATAGTATTCTACTTTTTAATCCACTTTCTCTTTTCCCTCAACAGGTTTCAGATATTTTAGTCCATCCAAACTTTTACTTCACCCCGGACGCCACCGTGGCCGTGCTCAAGCTGAAAGACAAGGCCAAGATCAGCGAGCGCGTGCTGCCGGTGTGTCTACCCAGAATGCACGGAGGAGAGGTGACGGTGCGGGAGGCTTACACCGCGAGATGGATTCTACCGAACAATCACAGGCACCTGAGCAGCTACGCCGCCTCGAGCCAAACGGAGCTTGTTGAGTTGAGTGATGTGGCTCATTGTGAAAAAGAATTTGCTCAGGGAGGAGCACGTACCGCAGCGATTAGTGACAGCGCGCTGTGTGTCGTCAAGAGGCCATCCAGTCCTGAAAGCCCTTGTCCCGGTGCTGTTCCAGGCCTCACAACCCTGCCAGCTGTGTTTCCACCCACGGGTCGAGTCTTGTCGGGTCAAGAGGAGACTCTGGGAGCCTCCAGCAGCTCGGGCTGGCAGCTGCTCGCTTTGGAGGGTTTCAGCTACGAGGAAAACAACTGCCACCGACAGACTCACACAGCTCAGACACGAGTTGGCAGTTTTCAAGACTGGATAGAGAAAAACCTGAATTGAATAATATCACGTGCAGCTAATTTTTATTCTGTTTATTTTGTCTCACTAGTTCTGTATTTGGGTCACCTCCACTTCAGACATAGGCGTGTTAAGGTGCACATCCACATTCTCACACCTTATGGGTACGTGGCTTATTTTTCACAATTAATTTTGTGGATAATCTTCTTCAGAAAATAAATTCTGACAGTTGTTGTCCTGTTTTTGCTGATTTCTTCTCCACGTCAGTGCCGAGCCACTTTCAAATCTAAAAAGTGCGCAGGAGCTCAGAGTGTCCATCCTATAATTCCACCTCTCCGTCCTGCTGACGTGTCCTTGGCCACTGAATCTCTGTCAGCTCCGGGCCTCTGACCTCTGACTAACCAGGAGATAAAACTTTTCCAAGAAGGATAAGTCATTATCTGCACATCGAGCCATAATGGTCATGATGCAAGAGTTCAGATATGCATTTTATGATTCAGTTTGCATGCATCCTTTTAATTCACACAATAAAAACATGCACATTTAGTGCAGCTTAAGAGAACGAACAATCGGGGGCCATTCTCCCTTATTCCCGAGCTACGCATGTGTGCACGTGCATGGCAGCACACCGTGTACAGACTGCATGTTCATCTTAATATGTACACAGCCTGTGTGTCTGTAGCATGTTTGCGTGTGAGGGTACGCGTTCGTGAGTGTCTCTGCAAGACATGTGCCGTCGTCGGGGAAACAAGCACACTGAGAGGATTTGCTAAACTTAGCTCTTACTCCTGAGACGCAGACACCCGCTGTGCTGTCCGCAGCTTTGTGCAGGACACCTTTTAATCCCAGCCAATTAAACAATGAGTATAGTTCAGTAGTCACTCTCTGCGAGCTGGGAGAGTGAAGACAGAATAAAGCAGGAGGGATTTGTTGCTTTCTTCTTGCACAAAGTAAAATCACACGAATCTGGAAAATACATTAATTCAACTGCAGAAGAAAATCAGTGGCTCGGGAATCAAAGAAAGTGAATTCATGCTCTGTAAATACAAAACTGTTGTGAATTTAATCCTCAGGAGGCGTTTTAACCAGCTTTGGGCCTTAATGACTCTTACTAGCAGAGGTCTCCATCTTACTGTTTGATGTCACGCTGCTAAAAACAGGATGAAACTCCACTAATCTACTGCTCTTTAACTGAGAGAACACCCCCCCACACACACCTGAGGGGAAGGGCTGACCTCCCCACCCCTCAGTCCGAGCATCACTGTGGATGTGCAGGACGCTTGTGGGGGAGGAGCAGGGATTTCTGCACCTGAACGCGGGAGAGGAGGAGAAACCTGCTGCTCCACCTGTACGAGTTCGCTCCATAGACTCTGCAGATTATTGATTTAAGGAAATTACCTTTTTTTTTTTTTCCAAAATCAAGAAAGAAAATTTAAAGAAGACTTCCAAAGGTGAGAATTTTTATTTAAGGATGAGATGCAGAATTAGATGCATAGAACTTTTACAAATCATTCCCATCAGTGCGTCGTCCTCATGCCGGTTGCTTGGTTGGGGACAATTCATCGTAGCTCTCGAGGTGCTGTGTTGTAAGTGCTGTGATTTCTACAGATACCTGAATGTGCTGGTTGGTGCTGAGCTTGGTTCTACTCCCACTCCCCTTCTCTTAAATCAATGGCTCACTGCAGGTCACCTTAGGATACTGGAAAAATGCCTGTACCAGAAAAAAAAAAAATCATCATCAGCGCCCAAAGTCCTGAAATAAGCTGCGTCGGTGCTTCACCAGCCCCCAAAAATGTGAGAGACACATCTGTTAGTGAATTAAAAGATTAATGACTTTACATCTCGGGACAGGAACGAGTCAACTCGTGCATTTTTCTGGAAGTGACAGTTTCTTAAAGCAATGCAAAACTGATGGCCCCGAGCCACATGTGCATCATTAGAGATACTGGCGCTCTTTGAGATCCCCCCCTCCACACACACACACACACACACACACACACACACACACACACACGCACAGACACACACACACGTGCACACGCACCCCCTTCAACTCAAGACAAGACTGTGAGAGGATGAAGTTCAAAAGAATGGCCAGAAGGATCACTCTGTGGATCCCAAGTGAAATTAACTGCATGAGTTGCACATCAGACACTTTTTTTTTCTTTCTGCGTCTTATTAGGGAACGTGACCAAAGACACGATCTTCTTTTGACACCGTATGAATTAAACACTGCATGACGCACACTTCATACATTCATGCAACTTTGTCGTCCGCATGTTCTCGGCAGACTCACAACACTGTAAAACACAATCATGTCACAAAAACGTTATGTAATAGTAAAAGAAATTAACAGTTTTTGGGACATTTAGACTGAAATCAAGGGAATAATTCTTTCCACAGAGATTACGTGTTGAAGGAAATCTTATTTTTCTGTAGGTAATAAATGTTCTTTCACAGAATAGGAAGATGGTCAGTAAAATATTTTTCCATTTTATTCATTTGTGCCTGAATGAGACTTTCAAGTGTCTAATCAGGAGGATAACTGGAAACCCTGAGGAGAAATCTCCAGGTCCAATCACTACTGTGACTTAAGTATTTAAAAAATATATGAACAATTCCAATTTGTAGAGAAGCATAGATTCACTCGGTTTCAAATTAGTGTTCAGCATTTTAAGCTGATGTTTGTGTAATTTGATTTGGTTTTCTTTAAATGAAAATATGGGAAATGCAGATGAAAAGTTCTCTTCTATAAGTGAATTAGAAATATTGTGAATAAATGTGAGAATCTGAGCAGTTTTCCTTCTTAACACTTTCAACCTTGACTCATTTCCTCTGTAGGTCAATCTCTCCTGTTGGTAAGTGTGCATCACTTTGCGATGACTTGATTTTATCCCACAGAAGAAAAACTCCTGATATCTACGACATTTTTTCCTCTGAAGAAACAAAAAGTCCAAAGATGAAAAAAAAGACACGACAAATATTTCATTCATTCACGAAAGCTTTTTTTCTTCAGTTATTAATAATTCCACCTCCTCCATATTTCTATTTGCGGCCTCAGGCACAATTATTGTCATCTGAATGTGTAGTTACCCTCAGAAGGCACAGGAGGCAGTGGAGGGACCTTGGCATGTGTCACGCTGTAATTTCCATTCAATTCACTTTCTTTTGAATCAAGTGACAGTCACCGTGTGCATTGTGGGAAATGGGTCATCATGGGACCATAAAGAAGTTTTATCCTGTTTCCTCGAGACTTGGCTCCAGAGGCAGGTGCCCATTAAATCTATAATGCAGGTTCTCACGGCACTATATCATTTAAATCCCAGTAAAACTGTGGCACTTAAATGCATCGGGAACGATCCGTAATTGAATCCCATATTGAGCAATATAGAATTTTAATTTCTGTAAGTATATGATGCATATTTATTTGTGTATTTATCTATTTATACTTTTTAATTAATAATGGTTTTAAACAATAGACAGCTCAGCACCCCCCCACCTCGCACAACACATCTACCAGAGACGTTAATTAATTAGATTAACGACAAAGAGAAAAACAAAGACACAAACAAAAGCTTGAATACTCTTATTTTAAATTTAATAATACGTGTATTTACATCGGAGCCATTTATTGGTCACAGCGTGCATCATCTCAGAAGTCGTGTCTTCATTGTGAAGTTTTCTACCCAACAACCTCCACAAGCTCCAAACAAAACAAGTCCGTGGTTGCTGGTTGCTTGTTTCTGATATTCAACGTATAAACAAGATTTTACAGCGAATAGTTGCTCGTTTTCATTTCTGCCAGTGAAACTATTCAAAGCCAGTTTTGTGCAGCGAGCTTTTCAATGCACAGAGATCTAAATGAATAACAATCATCCTCTCACCTCAGCCATGATAAGACTGCAAACAAGTGCATCGGCCTATAGCTTCATTAATTAGCTTCACTCTGTGGAAGGGTTCGGCTGAGGAGACGTGGTGAAACGAGCCCGGGTAGAAACGACGTTTCCTCTCGCAGCTTCTTTCTCAAGTGGAGTCAAGAGCTGCTCATCCGATGTGAAATGTTTTAATTGTACATCTCCTGCATAAGTAAGAGCGGTTAGCTCTCGTAATCAGGAGCTCTGGCTCGGATCCAGCTCCAATGCTGCTCTTATCAGACAGATGTCATTAAATTCATCACTGAAACACCGTCATCAGCCGTGCATCATGATTGCAATCCAGCCTCTGCGATGCAAAACAGGGTTTGTATTGGCTCATGACTGCGCTCACTGCATAGCCTGTGGTCCACGCCGATCCATTGTGTTGCATTTATACAGTAATTCAATCAAAGCTATTATTTTCAGAATGTTTTCTTATTTGGTCTTTAGTTTTAGTTGAATCTATTTACTGCAGTGGGAAACTTTATCACCTCTTTATTTACTTCCTGCCATCAAGTTTGTGCAGAAAAGTGTGAACCCACATTTTTGCAGCTACTAGTTTGTTGACTGATGCTTTTTCCATTTTCCTCCAAAAAATTGTTTGGGTTTGGGTGAAGGAAGAACCCTGAGCTAACACTCAGACAGATTTCCATACTGTTTTGACGAAGCAAACCACCGATACCTCTCAAAATGAATGAGAATATGCATATATATATATGTATGTATATTCTTTTTTGTTGTTGTATTGCACTCTATCGTATATTGTACCATGACTCTAATCTTGGAGCAAAATGGTGGTCGATCTTTTCTGATCGTATCTTAAATATCAGAACTTTTAGTTTTTTTTTACTCTTCCACTTAATCAATTCAACTAAACACAACTATATTATTAATTAAGTCAGTTTATTGGCTCCGAATTAGTGAAACTCACGAGTCGGATTTGTTTGTGACTGTGTGCAGAGACGTGTGCAAAGGTTCAGACAGAAGAACTCACACCTGGAATCACGTATCTGAAAATGTACCAGTGTTATTGTTAAACTAGTTTTTATTATCTAATCCCAACGAGACGATCCACCATCAGTATCACCGTGTGTTCACAGCATCTGAAGGAGGAGACCTTGGTGATACGATGTGTGGGAAATATGTTCTGAGTCCTCACAGCTGCGGACCTGTTCTCGGACCGTGCGTCTGATCCATCTCGGTGTGTATGTGCGCTGGATTAGCGTGGCTCAGGACAGATTAGATAATTATAGACACCTGCTGTCTAAGCGTGCTGCGTGTTGTCAGGTGTTGCAGCATGAGGTTGGTGCTGAGGGCAAAAAAGGTGGAGCGAGGTGCGGAGACGCACGGACGAAGGCTTTGCCATGTGCCCTCCTCGTCCCGTAGAAGCCCTGAGAATGCTGGGTAATTGGAGGCCTTGCGCACGCTCTGCGGATCTTGAGGGTCACCTACCCAACACACAGGGACTCCACACACTGCAGGGATAATGGGCCTATTTCCTGCTGCAGTTATACGTGCTCCTCTCGTCGCAGATCACCGTGCAATCAGACATTCTGTTCACCTTCGATTCCAATTCTCTGATTCCCACGTCGAGGGACGAAGGAGAAACACATCGACATGAGAAACTGACCCGTGATAAAAGAATACGTTTCAAACGGCTCCAGACACGTCGGTAATCTTCGTGTCCACATGAAGTCGCTCACCCCAGCGCAACATTAACGTGAACTGTAAACGCTGGGAGACTAAAAGAAGCAACGGTCGTTTCCAGGAAGAGAACGATCACACTGAGGCCCGAGCACCAACACTAGAAACTCCTTCCTGTGACTGATGAGCACAAGAAACATTCATGTATGATTTGATAGAGAGATTTATGTTTTCTGTGATTTTACTTTTTGTTCGCAACAAAACTGGGAAACGCTGCAAATTTGCAAAAACTAGGCCTATTTTTTTTTATATAAAACAAAATTACCGAGGTTATATTTTAGACTGAAGTCCCGAGGAAACAGCTGCAAGTCATTTTTTCTCTTCCGCAACTTTTATTTTGACAAATTACTTTTCTTTGAAGTGTTTTGCTGCTAAATTGGGAAGATATTTTCTGTTTGTCAAATTCATTGAGAATCAAATGTTGAAGAATTTATTAATTTCATTCGTGCCTTCTGTTGAGTCTTTCACAAAATAGCAGATGAACCCAATTAAAATTAAAAACATAGTTTGGACAAAACAAGACTCTTTTGAGGTCGTCAAATGAGTAAAAAATGATCAGCCCTGTTTTTAAAAAAAAAAGAAAAATCTGCTCCATTTTTCTGAATTAACAAGATAATAAACAGTTCCTATGAATTATTGTTGCTTGAGAACAAAATTGAAAAAAGTTCTGAAATAATTGAATGAGTTTTTTCTTCAATACAAAAATTAGCTTTTTTTAATCAAAACATTTTTATTAAAATTAAAATCATTTTTTTCTCAAACCTCTGTTTGGTTTGATGCTATTTCTTTTATTATTCCTGGATTTGCACATTAGGAGTTCAGTAATTAAATTGTCTGACAACCACAAAGTGAATTTGAGAGAATTTGGCCACAGATCTGTCACAGGAAGTCTTTTTTTCTTTTTCTTTAAAGGATAACTTCCATCAATGTCCGTCAACATTTCTACATCTCTATCCTCTGAAGTTGACGAATCAGTTTTTGGGTAAAGAACGAGGCTCAGGTTTCCTCTAAAGGCCGCGAGTAACAAAACGAGTAACGAATTGAAATCGTCTGCAAACCGAAGCCCTTTAACGTTCGAGAGGTAAACAAAACACAAACGTTATAAAAAGACCACCACCGGGATTTTCACTCAGCTGCTAATCTTAGCTGCTTGACTCCACCCTTCCTGTCTGGGAGGCTCCTGTCAGACCTCCATCACTTTCCCTTTACACGCCTCCCTGCAGCTGACTGAGCAGGTGACCGTGGATTTACACCGAGGGAGAAGATTTTGAATTACCGAAGATTCTTTTCTCTTTCAATCATGTTCTGATTGGATTTATTCATGAGTCATGGCTTTGTTAATGTTTTCCCCTGTGAACACGGCTGTGTAGTAGATCTCCACCAAGTTTAATTTCAATTCCAAAACAACTTACAAGACAACTGGTGAGTACTTTTTGTAATGGGATCATCTTGATGCTGTCATAATGAGGAAGTCTTTCCAAAGTTCAGCATCTCCTGAGCAGCTTTAAATCGACGTATATTGATGTATAAGCGATGCATTAATGACTGACGTGTGTGTATATGTGGTTTATAAAGGTTATTTTTCTGCAGTTATACATCTGTAGTCATGCTGTTAACGATACTTATTGATTTTTTTTGTTGAAGCTCTTTAAATGTGGCGCACCCTGTTCTGATCTGTTGGGAAAAAAAATCACGACTTAATTAATGTTTCTTTTGTTTTGCAACCACAATGGCCACTCGTGCAGATTTGTCTGGTCTCAAACTGATTCGTTTCGTTCCCAAAACAACAATAACTCTGTTTGCAAACGCGGAGGTTTTGTTTTTAAATGAACTTAATCTCCTGCATAATCGTAAGTATGCAGGTAGAGGTGACACCTTGACTTTTCCTGGGAAGCCCCTTTTCTGTTGCATAACTCGGTGGCTTGTGTGCTGGAGGTGCTAATTTTATCCTCTTTAAAAGGCTTAAGTCTCATTAATGCTGGAGCACAGTGTATCAGACAGGCCTGATTGACTTGGCAATTTGTCCTCACCTTATATGTTCTCTGTCACCTTTCATGCCTTTTGCAGAAGCAAATTCACAGACTGAGTTATTGAACGTGGAGCGGCGTGCGCCTTATATTTCTGTGCTACTCAAAATCAGAGCTTTTGTTCCTGCTGTCACTCGTACATTGTTCTCTGTAGAGAAGCACTTTTTCTCTTGGAAGAAACCTTTCACTTAATGTACAACCTCTCCAGAGAGAAACTTCTTGTTTTTTCCCTTCTTTTGCGTTTTAATATTCCAGGTGTTGTAGACATGAAGGTCAACAGTGTCCAAGTGAAACAGGAATTCGCTGTTACATAAGTGTGCACGTCTGTGGTGAGCAGAGGATTTAAAGGCTGCACAGGGGCGAGCTGATCTTTAAGTCAAAGAGGCTTTACGCCAGACCACAACAAACCTGAGATGCTTTTTGCCTCGGTGACACGATGAAGCAGTGAGATGAAGCGGTGCCGGGCTCCTCCATCACCTCGAAGACATCCTCAGGACACATCAGCACGTTACAAAGCACAAATACAAGAAATGTCCCGAATATGCATGTTCTTTACATGCAGGTCGTCTTGCTTACGTCTTCGTAATAAACTTTCATAGATTGCATTCCAACAGCAGCAGCAGCAGGGGACAGATGATTTATCAGTTTATTCAAAGTCAGAGAGAAAAACTGGATTCAATTGTTTAAAATGCCGACTTCAGAACAAACTCTTTGTTGATTCTGTGCTAATTGTTTGGGAACGTCAGTCCCTGATTATATAAAGACTTCCTGTGAACTTCAGAATTCATTTGATTTAATCATGTGTGCATATGTCTCTTTTGGTTAATTAGTGATTATTAACATTTTTATCAGGACATAGCGTTTTGTTATCATAACACAATCACTCCTCCACAGTTTTGGAATCACCACTCACTTCACTGTGTTGTAACTTCTGTGGTCTCAGTGAAGATGTAGCTGGAAATCATTCTCCTCCAGTGCACGTCTGCTAATCAGCTGCTTGTATTTTCTCCACACACCAGCAGTGACCCGTTGGGTAACGTGTGGGAGATTCACACTCTTTATTCATGTCTTCTCTTTAGTTGTGTTATTTTTATATCAAGGAATCAGCCAAGGTCCAACAGTCTCCTTACATCCAACCAAGCTGCACCAAATTACACACACTCATAGATTTAGACTCCTTTTTATTCATCTTTTTCATCAAGATCCATGAATTATTCCCTGGAAACTTGAGAGTGGCCTTGATCTACCGCTTTGTTCTGATCCAAAATCGAATGTTTTCAAGTTGTACTGAACATAGTTATCAGTCCTGTTGCTGTATGTATATGAGGTTTTTTTTTAGTTAAGGTTCACGAGTTATTCACTAGGAAATTGGACAATATGTTCGGTCTACATCGACCCTAAAATCTTCTGGGTTCTTTCTTCTTTCTCTCCCATCTTATATCCTTCCACCAAGTTTCATGGAAATCCGCTCAGTAGTTTTTTGCGTAATCTTGCTTCTTCACAGACAAACATACAGAATGTGTTGGAAACCCTGTGAATAACAGCACTCGTCATTTTTTCTTCCTCTCCTCCACTTTCAGTGCCAACACAATGAAGAAGCAAGTGGAGGTCAGGATGGACGAGAGCCACCTGGAGCCCATCGTGGAAAATCAGGAGAGCGCGTGCAGCAGCTTCTGTGATAAAGTCATGAAGAACATGGTTCTCACTCTCACCATCCTCGGTACGTTTACACACGACTGCTTTACTGATCACTTATCACGGTCAGGGGGACGCAGGTTTTCCCAGCATGCATTAGACAAAATGTAGGGTGTTTAGGCCGACAAACACATTCACAGCTCCGGGTGATTATCCCACCTACATGGGTTGTGGGAGAAATTCCACCCACACTTTAAATGGGTGCAGTGTTTTCAAACTCCAGCAGTTTCAGAAGAGAGGGAATTAAATGGCAAACAACATTTTTTTTTTATGTTATTCTTCCTTAATGGATTTAAATTAATCTGAAGCACTTTATCTTTCATTTGAGGATTTCACTTACGCTCATGTGTTGACGATAACATCAGAAATAAAGTGGTGCTGTTATTTCATTAGCTGCTGTAAAGTAAAACGTAACGACCTCACGAGTTTAACGGTTTTATTCATCACATATGTTCATAATCATCACAGGATCTAAAGTTAACGTCTCGGCTCGGACTCAGATGATAGTTTGTGGCGATAATTAAGATTCTGATGAGGAGAAAGCGTCGTTACACAGTCGTTAATGTATTTTCATTAGGAAACTTTAAGTGTTGACATTATTTTCATTTCTCGCCGGCTCAGGTGTGTTTCTGGGCTCCATCGCTGGAATGCTGCTGCGGCACATATCTCCTCTGCCGGCTGATGTTATCATGATCATCGCCTTCCCGGGGGAGATCCTCATGAGGATGCTGAAGATGCTGATTCTGCCTCTTGTTGTTTCCAGTCTGGTCACAGGTAGGCGACGGTGCAAAACGCTGAATTTAGGGACAAGTGATATTAGGTCACAGGGTGCAACCTGTTGCTGGGGAGAAATGGGAGGAGAAGAACAAGAGTTTTTTACTTTTTCCTCAGGCAAAATAATAATAAAAATAATTTAAAAAATACCTCTTAATGTACTTTAAACTTTTCACAACTGTATAATGTGTGAGTAATGATGTGTATTTTATATTTATATGTATTTTCTTTTATTTGAGTTGACTGTTTTTAACCTAAAGTCTCTTTGAGCATTGTTTAAATTGCTATAACAAAATCAATGCATTTTTATTGTATGTTTATATATTTTGTAAAAACGTAACATTGGTTTTAAAAGCAGAACTACATAACTACAACATCCCACAAATAGAGATAACACATGAATGCTAGTTGTATTGACATTTCCTCAGAAATACACAAATGAAATAAAACATTATAGTTATTTATTAGAATATAAGAAAAAACATTTCTTGGTCTTTATATAAAACTAGTCAGGTGTATTTGTGTGTATATAAATGAAGAAGTGTCTGAACAAACTCATTTAACTGTTTTTACGAATGCATGCATCAATAAGAGAAATACCAAATCATTCTACAGCAGATTTGAATATTTAATGCACATATAAAATTGTATATTGTACAATGTGCTGCCTCTCGACCACTTAAACACAACTTCTGACGTATAACTGTAAGTTACCATCATCCCTGCACAGTTCATGTGCTGAAGACAGATGTTCGAGGCATCGTGTTCCGTCCAGGAAGTCGAGACGTCTTGTTTCCTCCATGAGTCAACAAGGAAACTGAGTTACCGTCACCTGCTGTCACGCTGGATAATTAAACCCTGTATTCAAAAGATAAATCCGATTGTCTGACTAAGTGCAAACGTGGGGAGCTGCTGTTCTTCTCGCGGTTACAGGTGCTCGAGCAGCAGTTTCCCACCGAGTCGTCTCACTTTGATCGTAATTCTCACGAAAGCGCCAGGTGCAGAATTTGTTTTTTCCAATACATTCGCACAATACGTCCTCAGAGAGAAGTCACAATCACAACAGCGGCAAGTAAGTGAGATGAGCGGCTCTGTGCACAGGCTGCAGGTGTGGAAGAACAGCAGCAAGTGTTTGGTGAGGGGAGCTGAAAGTCTCACTGTCAAAGAAATACAGAAATCAGACAAACATCAACTTATAATATATTATTTATTATATAGAGAGTATTTCTGGGTTTTATGCTTTTGATTGTGGACATCGTCGGTATTTCTCTCTAACAGGACTCGCCGGTCTGGACGCAAAATCCAGCGGTCGCTTAGGCACCAGGGCCATGGTGTACTACATGTCGACGACGGTGATCGCAGCCGTCCTCGGAGTGATCCTCGTGCTGCTCATCCACCCCGGAAACCCCAAGCTAAAGGCTAATCTCGGGCAGGGCAAGAAGAACGACGATGTGTCCAGCGTGGACGCCTTCTTCGATCTCATCCGAAATCTTTTCCCAGAGAACTTGGTGCAGGCCTGTTTCCAGCAGGTAGGAGTCTCACAGAAGAAAAGTTCTCACCCACCATGTCAAGTCTGATGCATTCGCGCCAACTGCTTTCTTTCTTTTTTTGCTTCTTGTCCAGATCCAAACAGTCACCACAAAAGTACCAGTGCCCACCAACAGGACCAAGGCACCCCCGCAGTTCACTGTGAAAAGGTCGCTGCAGTTCAAGAGTGGGATGAATGTCCTGGGTAGGTGAAACATTTGGAAACAGAAATAGAAATAAAGAAGTTCTTTTTCGTTTTTTTTCCAATATCTCAAATTCCTCCACCAGTGCTGCACAGTCAGACTTCTTCACAGAAAAGGGTTTTACTTCTGCATCTGGATCCAGATCTGTGTCAAAATACTTGCCAGATGTTTTTAATGAGACGTTTTGAAAAGAGAAGATCCACAAAAATAAAGCTCTCGTTCCTCAGATGATCATCTTAAATATCCACAATCAATTTAGAACAGATACGTATCATAGTAGATATCATAATTCATAAATAGAAAAACGGTGTCCAACATACAAAAGTCATGTTGCGTTCATAGAACAGGTTCAGGCTGAACAGCCGTCATGATTAAATACTGCCTGAGGCGAAATCTCTCGAGAAAATATCTGGAGAAAACATGTAGACAACATGTTGAGAAACATGTGGAATTTTTTTTTAGAGAAATGTGGGGGGGAACATATCTATAGAAAACATGCAGCAAAAAAAAAAAACAATGTTCAGTGTTGGTACATCATCTATACACGGAGTATTATCTTTGTTTTCGTAGTCACAGACAATCATTCTTGTATATCTCGGGTTGTTGTGAGACTGACTTAATGTCTCTGTGTCCTGTGTCCTGTGTCCTCCAGGTCTGATTGGATTCTTTGTTGCGTTCGGAGTCATTATGGGCAAAATGGGAGAAAAGGCCAAGCTGATGTTGGAGTTTTTCAACGTCCTGAATGAGATCGTTATGAGGCTCGTTAGTGCGATTATGTGGTGAGTGCTGGCATCGATCCACGATCAGTGCAACTGCCAATACCCAAAGAGTATCCAACAGACGAACAAATGCTAATCACACCCATATCTTCAGGTACTCCCCCGTCGGTATCGCCTGCCTTATCTGCGGAAAGATCATCTCCATCGCTGATCTGGAGGTGGTGGCGAGGCAGCTGGGGATGTACATGGTCACCGTCATCGTGGGCCTCATCATCCACGGAGGCATCTTCCTACCGCTGATATATTTTGTGATAGTTAAAGAAAACCCCTTCAAGTTCTTCATGGGAATATTCCAGGCCTGGGTGACGGCGCTCGGAACAGCGTCCAGGTTTGCGACATTTTGAATATATTCTCTCCTGCTTTCTATTCCAGAGGTTTCCTCTCCCGTGCGCTGCATATTTTTCATAATAACGTCTCTCGGCCGTATTTTGAAAAACATCCACACTTTTTATTCCAAGTGGCGACTACGAAGCCGTCTCGCCAGCAACGGCTTCTCACTTTGCCTCAATGTGGGATATTTCTTTCCTGCACTATGTTTTATTAATGATATGAGATACAATATTTCACCCTCCTGAGGTGAGCTCGCTTCTTTCAAGTTCCTGTCTGCTCACTGCCGCGCCACCTACACAAGAAACACTTAATTATCAGAGTAACGCAAACAAAACAACTGCTGAGTCACAACCGACGATGTCTCACCGTGGACTCCGAGTGAATTCCAATGAGCAGAAGTTTTAGTTTCTTTGGTGAAGTCAAACTTATGAAAGCCAGAGTGTCACGTAATAAACAGTATATGGTGGATTTATTTCAGAATCAATAGACGAATAAAACATCCAGTGAAATTAAGTTGGTACCTTGTTGTTGAGGTTCATGCCGTTTGTACCAAAACCCTTCTTCCTGTTTCACTCGCCACAGTGCCGGCACCCTGCCCGTCACGTTCCGGTGCTTGGAGGAGAACCTGGGCATCGACAAGAGAGTGACGCGATTCGTGCTCCCCGTGGGGGCCACCATCAACATGGACGGCACCGCGCTCTACGAGGCGGTGGCGGCCATCTTCATCGCTCAGATGAATGGGATCCAGCTCGACTGGGGCCAGATTATCACCGTCAGGTGAGAATGTGGCAACAGGAAGATGTCACAGAACGTTTGTGAGCGAATGTGTTGATGGATTCTGCTCAAACAGGGTTATAAACATTCCCAAACAAAAGTAATTAATATTGTAATTTAAAATATTTTTTTCCCCTTTAAACACCTATGAAAGGTGCTTAAATTAAAATGTTTTTAAATACAGTAAACCTGGAAACATGAATCTCTCAATCCAATTAGTAAAGATGATTTTATTTTTCCAATAAAGGCATATATTTCCTAATTGGACTGATTGTATTTCATTTATTTTTTATTGCTTGATGGATTGTTAAGGGTGCGCAGACAGAGTGTGTGTTTGTCGGAGGCTGTGGTTTGACCTGCTGAGCACTGAACTTGTCTCCTGTGCAGTATGACAGCCACCCTGGCCAGTGTCGGAGCAGCCAGTATCCCCAGTGCCGGACTCGTGACCATGCTCCTGATCCTCACGGCGGTGGGGCTGCCCACTCAGGACATCAGCCTCCTGGTGGCTGTCGACTGGCTGCTGTGAGTTTAACACCGACACAAAACTGGCTGTGGATTTCTTTGGGTTTGTTAGAGAAGCAGATGTCAAGACTCCCTTCAGACAGAAATAAGTTTCTTTCCTTTCAATTCATCATCTCAACATCATACACAGGGAGTTTTAATAGAATAACAGTAATGTATGTTCGCTTATAAGGACAACGCTTCACAATCTGATTATTAACTCTCGCTGTAAAGTTGATTCATTACAAGATGAGACAAGATAAGATAAGATAAAACTTTACACAGTTGTTACAGCAGCAGGCAAGAGAATAAAGAAATATCAAAAGGCAATAGAATAAAAATAAAAGTAAAAATTAAACTGAAAAAATGCTAAGCATGTATATTATATACACCTAAAAAAATAAAAAATAAAAAAATAAACCCACAAGTTCTTTAAAATAAGGAATTAAATAGATGCTTGTCTGTGTTTCTCTCTGACGACTCTATAGATTTTTTTTTTCTCTTCTTCACACACGTGAAGAAATTGAAACTGATGTTTTACTTTAATTTAAATGTACAGGTTTGTGTCTCATTACACACAATGAGCACTCTACCATCTTTGATGCACATAAACCAAAATCTTCAGGATTAGTCTGACGCGTCATCTGTAAACCACAGTTTCATGTGAATCCAGATGGTGCACTGTTAATCTTTTGGTAAATGTTCTCACTCTTCCTCCACATGTTTTCTCTCGTTCTCTTCTCCGACACGCAGCGATCGTTTCCGGACCTCGGTCAACGTGGTGGGAGACTCGTACGGAGCGGGCATCGTCTACCACCTCAGCAAACACGAGCTGGACTCGTTTGATGCCCAGCAGGCCCGGATGGACGAATTTGAGATGGCAAAGACACAGTCCTTCTATGAAAATAACTCCAACCAGAATGTATACACTAACCACAACTCAATCTTGATAGACGACTGCAAGGTACATTTCATGTTAACGGACATAGAGACGTGTATGTAGAGAATCCTTCCCGGCTCCGTCCACGTGTTTGTCCTTCTCTCTATGTGCTCGTGTTTCTTCTTCCATGTGACTTCCTCTGTCGGTGCATTGGTGACCATGTGCATAGTAACTGTCATATGAAAAAGCAGTTTTTGTGATACCAGGTTCACAAAAAGCAAAACTCTGTAATTTTTTTTTTTTTTTATAAACATTTGTTTAATTTTAATCATCCTCCAAAAACTCTGTTTTCTCTTTTAAAATCCCAAATGAAAGTGTTTATTTTTTTAAACATCAATCTTACAGAAAGCGGCGTCTTGTACACGTTTATACTTTAGTCTGTATTTTGTTGTGACATGTCTTGATTTCAGTGAAAAACTGTTCTCTATTTTTCTTTTGTCTACCTAATTGGACATGTATTTATGGCAGCCCTGACCAAATTACAGTTTTTCGATAATCTTCTCAGAGTTTTTGTAGCCAGTGGTACACATAAAGACTGCTGTTTCACCATGTCTCGTCCAAACTGATGCATTCATTCATGATCTCAGATCCTTCCCCATCTATAGCGTAGCTTTAGCTTTCTAAAACAAACAGAAGCTCAGAGAATTCTCATGCATAAAGTTCCTGTTGATATTTCATTGCCTGTGTAATGCAGCTTTTCTTCTGACGCTATAAAGTTGCATTGTGATCATTTTGATAATTATTGTAATTCGGTTGGGCAGAGAATCCATAAAATACATGGCCAACTCTGGAAGACAGCTCCTCTGTGTAATTCTGTCAATAACAATATCTGTCAGTGTATCAGAGGACATGTTTGTCAATGCCGGGGATTCACAAACTCAGCCCCAGGGCCAGTGGCCTGATGTACTGAACAATGGCTTCTCTGCCCACAGCCGGTGACGGTCTGTGAATGAAGGTGCCTTGGCCCGCAGAAGTTAGATGTTCTTGATAATTGCTTACAGGTCACCATGGGGAAAAATGGCAAGACTACAGACTTCTCTCTTGTTGAGGAGGAACCATGGAAATGCCAGAAATAAAGCAGATTCAGATGCTGCTGCGCCTTACCCTGAGTTCCACCATCTTTTACTTCTCTGCTGACGCAACTATAAAAAAACTACAACTTAAAAAAGAAAAAATTCATATACAAAAAGAAGAAAAATAAAATTAGCAGAGTCAACAGTTCTGCAAGAACAGAACAAACAGTCGGACATTTGTTTTTTGTCAGTTACCCATCCGGGTAGCTGCTGGAACAAACTACACAAGACTCACCAACCTGTATTAGATCTTTGCATCTGCGCTAGCCGGACACAAACTGCATTGAACGGGTCACGCACTCGTTCCAGAAGAATAAAACCCTCGGTTGACAACACTCAGGGCCTTACTTGGTGCTGCTTCGAGAGCATGAAAGGAAGGAACAGTGCTTCTTGTGGCATTATGATGTAAGTGCAAGAAGGTTAAATACTGCTATTACCTTTGACTGTTTGACTTATGAGATTACGCCCTGGTCGTCATGGTCAAGCCTAAGAAGCAAAGCTTAGGACTTAGGACCATAAGGGGAGAAGGGCGTGGCCTCTAAATGTGGTAACAAACAGTACAGGATGTTTTGCAAAGAGCTATACAACCAGACGATAGAGTGTATTTATTTACTTACTCATTTTTTTGTATATATGTTGTTTTATGAGTGAAGCACTGCGATTCTGTGTATGCCTGTGTACTGGAGTTTATGTGTTTCTGAGAGAAAGAGAACGGAACTCTCAGCAGGCCGGTGCATTGCTCTGTTTTATTTCAAACTGTTTATTTCTTTGCTGTAATACAACTTTGCCTTGAAGACGTCAACTGCAGAGTGCAGTCGGTATGATTTCTGGAGAAAAGTTACTCCCGTTCATGAATAACAGTTTTAGCAGAGGAAATTAAAACAGCTTCCACCTTCCGGCTTCACTGACCTCCGGGTGAGGACGGCTGGGCCTTCCTCACAAGATATCATCATGGATTTAGCAGATTTTAAGTGTTTGCACAGTAGAAATAAAAAAAAGGCTTGCAATTGCATTTAGAGTTAAGAAGCTACGTTTCTTTAGCCAGCACACGCTAAATTCCGCCTCCAGTTCTCGTATGAATCAGAAGCCGTAACAACAAGGTCATTGGATGTTGATTTGTACATGTTTTGAGTCCGTGTAACAACTCAGGTTAAAAACCTGAATTATTTATTTCTCTTTTCATATAAGTGACGTGATGTTCATGTTTAAAGTGCCTCCTTGCACTTTGTGTATATACTTTCTTTAGATAAAGTTTATAAATCATAGAATTTGATATTTTATGTCATCTATCAGACTTGTTTTTTGCTATGCTAAAAGTTTATATAAAGACTATAGCTCTCTCTCTATATATATAAATATAATATGTATATGTGTAACAATGCTAGATCAGTGGAAATGTTCTTTTAATGGGCCACTAGTTGTAGCAGGTTGTGAACGTAGGTTGATTTATTTGCAAACCATACATTCAATTAATGTTTTTAAAGCAACACTCTGTAGCTTCTACTGAGCAACAGCGCCCCCATGTGGTAATGCATTCTGTTGAGCTCTTTGTCAGAGTGATGAAGTGGTTTTCATGTAGAAAAAAAGAGTCAATCTATCAATGTGTTGAGTGGAGCTCTGACTGCGTATTCCCACTCACTGAACTGAAACACAACGGAGCGCTGGAGATTACCCATGATCCCCGGCTTCCTGAACCGGAAGAGCCGCCGCTTTAACAAATCCACCAAACTCTGTTGAGAATTCTTCATATTTTAAAGGTTTCCTGCTGAATATTGGCGATAAACTCTGGTTTTAAGTTTTTTTTAACTGATCTACAGTTCTGTATTAGTCTTGAAATTGCTGAACCTGAATTTGACAATTTAAACAACTATCACCCCTTTTTCCGCTGGTCAAAAACTCCACTAACGCCTCGGGCGAACACTCTAATTTGGCAAGACAGCGAGGTGACAGAGCGCCTGAGTTTTCTGTGCGCTAGTGACATCGAACATGACGTCACAGGAGATCGTACCCAAAGTTGCATAGAGCAAGAACAGACGTTCAGGGAAAGAGAGAGGAAACATTTTCCTTTTTCCAAGTCAGTGAACCATTTAACTCATTTTGAAACTGTGATTTTTAAGGAGAGAAAAAGTTGCATATTGTTGCTGACATATTGCTGCTTCCAACATCTGTCTCGTCTAGTCATTGCAGATTTGGTATTTTAAGTTTATGCAGTGTTGTGTGCAGGATAATATTGCTGGCAACTACACTTTGTCTGCATGTTGTTGACCTCGAAGCTCCTCACTGTTTAGCTCAAGCAGCACCTACCTGGTAACTCAGGAATCATGGAATCATCCATTTACCATGATTTATGTAAAAAAAACAATCGTATATCTGTTACACCAATTTTCCAGTGATTCAGTTGGTCCTTCTACTAAATAAGAATATGTTGTTAGTCAGCTGGCCGGGTGTGTTTAGTGTTTTCTATGAACAATTGTACAATCTTTAGGAAATAAAAGTTGTATTTTCTATCTTTTCTTTTTGTTTCTATGCACATATTGGTCCCAGAAGGTATTCGACTCCTCTTCTTGTGTCGGACATTCATTGTAATGCACGACTTCTTATGACTGACTACATCCACTGCCGGATTGACTGCACTTGTTCTACATAAGCTATAACAGAGCACAGAAACATTTCTCAGGCTGACCAGACTGAAAACGTGTACATGTTTTAATACCTGTGTGTGTAAATATTAATGGGAACAAATAAATGTTTATTGAATGAGCCGCTGCTGTGTTTATTTCTCCCGTGATGCGATGCGGCACGTGAACATTCAACAAATGCAAGTTAGAAGAGCTGAAGTGATGCGTAGGTTGTGAAGAGAAGCTAATGAGTTGGTGGGCTGAGTGCTGTTCAACACTCAGAGCTTACATAACCAACGTGGGGGGAAAAGCAGCTCAATATAAGTAACAGTTCTCATCACAATCTTTAATAATATTATTACAAAGTGATTTAAGTTACATTACAATGAAGGCAAAAACAATAGTTTTTATACATCTGAAATTGAAAAACTATTGTAACCAAGTATTTACAACGACACAAAAGGAAATAAAGAACTGACTTTTTTGTCATATTTGAAATAAATGGCATTTGTGCATCTCACCCGGATCGATTTTGGTTTGTTACAGTTAATGACAGAGTTGATATGGAAATAAATTAATCAACCAAAGTGTTGCTGTAGATTCATAGGCAGGTTGCGGCGAAGAGTTGTTGAAAGTCAGCAGGAAAAACCAGATCAGGAGTCTGGCTCAGACGCTGTGACCGTCCACAGACGCTTTCTGCTCAAACGGCCCCGGCAGTTTTTGTTCCTCTGGTCAAATACGTCTGTTACAAAAACAGTTGTGTGGTTCTGTGATGAGTCTCAAGCCCCCCTGAGGGTCTCTCTTGCACTGACTGTCAGTGTGACGAATTACTTTCTGGAAGTTCGTCCAGGGGGATGACTGTGTACTCTGCTGACTTCCCGTTCTCCCTGGGCGCCTCTTTGTGCAGGAACGTCTCCATCTCTTGCTCCCTCTGCTGGTTTGAGGAGTCAGCCTTGGTCTGAGACTGATGAGGTCCGTTCCACCTGCACATTGAGGAAAAACAGGGATTTAATTCTATGCTCAAAAAAAGTCTAAATAGTTTTCTTTTCTTTCGGATTTTTGAGTCTTACTTGTCTCGGGTAGCGATGGCCACGCAGAGCATTACCAGTGCTGCAACACCGACGATAAAACCAACGATGATGATCCAACCTGGAGATATGGCAGAGAATGGGTTAATTTGTTTTACGCCAAGACGTTATCATGTCCAATGGTGTTTAATTAAATAGTTTTTTGTTCTAGACTCACCTGGAGTACCTTTTGCTGCCGCCTGCGGCGAGGAAATGTCGGGTCTGTGATTAACTAAAGTAGAATGAACACTCTTAAAATCTTCCATAGGAAACAATGAATCAATCAATATAAAAGTGATTTCAGGTCAGAACTGTTGGGGATAGAGGACATTACCTGTTTCTAATAATAACTTTGCTGAAGAGTTTGAAAGTTCCTCTGCAGATGCTGATCCTGCAGGTAATAAGTGCAGTCGTGGAGCTATGGATTGGATGAAAAAAGCTGTGGAGGTTGATGACGCAGTGCTGGTTTCTGTGAAGGAACATTTAAAAACACAGGCTTGAAATCTTCATAAGCAAAGAACAAAGACGACTTGTAGGCGGTCGGAGGTAAAATTATTTTGCCTTTTTTTGAAAAACTCCTCTGACGTACCTGGTGTCGATCCCGACCCTGATCCTTCACCGTCTTCAAACAGTCGTTTAGGGTTGAAAGCAGCCGTGGAGGTCGATGCTGCAGTGCTACTTTCTGTGTTGGGGGCAGGGGTCGTATTAGAGCTTGTGATGGCGTCCAAGTCTGACTCCTCTCCGTCTCCAGACCCGGAGTCTGAACTCAGAGTGCTCAAGAAGTGGAAGCTGGAGACGGCGGGGTCAGCGGTATGGGTGGCTGAGATGTGGGTGGTGGTTGATGGTTTGGCGTCATTTGGCACCGATGAGGACGTAATGCCAGATGGAGAGCTGGTTGATAAGTCCGTTGTGGTTGTATCGTGGTCACCTCCATGCTGGATGAACACGGCGGTCGTGGTCTCCTCGCTGGGCGCCTCCTTCACGGCCTCTTTGGGGTCAGAGGACGGCTGCTGGGACGCTAGGACGGTGGTGTTCCTTTTTGGCGATCGAGTTGTGAAGAAGTGGTTGACGAGGAACCCGTCGGTCACCGCCTCTCGGAAAACATCATCCTCGGCTTTGGCCGGGATCTGGGTCACAGCTGGAGGAAAACCGAGATGGAAAAAACCCACATGTCACGTGAAGTGTTTGCCAACCAACATGAGCGGACAGGAAAGTTACCAAGCTTTTTGTGAAGTGTTACAAAGTCATCTAACGTGGGCTTAAGTGCTTCGCCCCAAATTCTTGTATAAACTTGTGCTGCGGGCGTGGTGAGAAACGGTAATGATTAACCTCTGCGACTAATCATCTGTGAGTGGGGTAACAAAAGAGAGGCCGTCTCATCAAAGCACCCGTTTTGTTGAGAGCCAACCACACAGCTGTGACACACCTCGTGCTGCAGAGTAAACCATGAGCGCTCTTGTTCTGTGTGAGTTGGACGGAAGCCACTGACATCGTTTCATGTCACAGAAGAACGGATCAGGCCACGAGTTTGATCACGCAACGGATGGAAACATTCATTCGTCTCTTGTGCATTTAAATGTATTTTCTTCAGCTGCCTGTACAATCACAGTTTAATAGCAGTGAGGTTATAATAAAATTAGTACTATACTAATACTATATTTCCATTTTATGCTGTAACTTTATACTTTAATACATTTCAGAATGAAATATTTAGATTTTAATTCACTATATGGATGGATATTGCCAGTAGTTACATTTCAGATTAAGACTGTATATTGAAAATACAAAGAATCAGTGGTTTCCAACAATTTGTCATGTTTTCACCTATAGATAAAGTGTCGTTATCTGTTCAACAAATGAAAGATTTCCTTCTTAGCGTCTGAAAATATTTCATTTTGAATTTACATAATATAATAAGATAATACAAAAACTACATTGTTACCCTCACTTGAGTAAACGATCTGTCTCGCTGACCTTAAAAAGCCATAACCTGTTTTCTTGTGAAATCTCAGCAGCTAATTAAAAAAGCGAAAGGAAAAAGGGACCAATAAGAATCAAATCACACTTCTCCACTTTCCATTTCTGCCCCGTCATGTTCAGCTCGAGCGAACCCTATGAAGTTACCAGTCGCCAAGACTCGTGTAACAGCTCTTTGCCAATCTTTGGTTTCACCTCATTCAAGCCGTACGCATTAATGCACCTCCTGGAGCAGCTCGGAACATTTCACAAAGGCGTCTGTGTGTAATCTGGAGGTGCGAGTGAAACCTGTGCACAGACTATGAAATCCTATTCTTACAGAGAGAGTTAGACCTGGAACACGAGGAGCATCTGAGGTGGCGGCAGCGAAAGTGCTGACTCACAAGGTGGGAAAAAGGACACTGTGGGAATTGTTGAAATTTCAGAGGTCTGCACAGAATAATTTCTGTAGTTTTCTGCCTTCGTTACCCACGAGTGCGGCCTCACGAGTCCTGAGATAGACGACTGTCAAGAGTTTCATTGACCATCAGTGAATGTGACGACGTAAGCAGAAAAATTAAATCCACCTGGATTTGGAACCTAATTTTTAAAGTCTGATTCTCAAAGGAAAAAATCAAACGGCTGATAAATGAATTCGGACACAGAAGCAATAAGAAAAAAAAAAAGTGGTGGTTTAAGCTTTTCAAAAAGATAAACCTGTAAAATGAGAAAACGTATTTTAACTTACTCGGAACAGGTGTCGCCTGGACAAGAGCAAGAAGTCCCAGAAAAAGTCCAACAAGAATAGTTTTCATCTTCATTCCAGAAAGTGATGAAGCTACAGACTGAAGTTATTAGTTAACAGGTCGGAACTATATAGCTGAACAGATGAATCATGCCTTTGCCTTTTATACACACCAGCAGGGAGGTGTTGCATCAGTACAACAATGGCTGGCAGCACAAAAACATACACAGGAGGGCAGGCACACCTGGGTATACACCCTCTTCCTCTGACACTTTCTCACGCTTCTTTCCTCCTCCTTCCATCAGGCACACAAAAAAAATCAATTTGTTCTGGAAGTCTCTTCCCTCGAAGACAAAGGCTCTAAATGTAACAAAGGCCATAATGGGATTCATAGCTGCCAGATACTAACAAAATATACAGGACACATTCAACCACTAAAAACAATCTGTATGATTAAAGTAATAATGTAAATCATCATCACTTTGTTTGAACGTCTAATGGACAAAATAATTGGTTCATGACAGTAAAACATTGCATCTTTTGAATAAGCAAATGTATTTAATGATTTAATAATCTAGACAGAGGAACCAGGTCTGACACAACAATGAAAACCAGGATTCCAACACATCAAGACAAACAGGAACTAGAAAGTCAGAGAGACTGTGATCAACAAACTGGCACATGACATTAATGACAATACATCCTGCTGGAACCTCGTAGTGCAGTTTTAAAAAGGCAGGAACATTTCAAGACAAAACTACATTTGAGTTTTGGTAATGTAATTTTCTTATTAAAGATGTTTAACCAAAGAAAAAAGTGTTTAGGGCCTGAAAAGTGATTGATATCATCGGGAATCCTTTTTTCTCTTCTACTACCTTCTCATGATTCCAGGCACACAAAGAACGATTTCTCAGAAGGTTTTGGTTTATATGGATAAATAAAACTAATTATAATTTAAGTAATATACGTAAATGCTGCAATAAACAATGAAACATTAAAGCCCTCTTTGCGGGAAGGAGCATACAGATCTTCACGTGGCGACACACAGGTTAGAAACCACCACCACCAATAAACAAACACCGCAGACCATCGGTGGCGACCACAGAGCCGTGTGATAAAGTTCCACCAGCAGCTCAATTATCAACAACAACAGAAGAAAAAGTGAAAGTTCTCTGTGCACAGTTGGAAACAGCTTTCAGAGAAATTGGGAATCTGTTTGCCGACAGCAAACTCTTTGGAAAACTGCTCAGGTAGAGATCTCAGGTAGAGAAGATAAATCATGAGCAGCTCTGGAGACACATGAAACAACACGCCCCCTCTCATTAGCGCTTCCTTATGATTCTATCTCCTGCCAGTGTGGGATTCGAACAGACCGAGAATCGTCACTTGTGGTCTTGTTTCGGCGTTTCAGAATACGCACTTTTTGGACTCAGCTCAGTATCATCTTCCCTCAGGCAGTGTGCGCCGCACATAATGACTGTTGTGATACGCTGACATCTGACGGAAATGGATGCGTCACCGCAGAGCTGTAGCCCCGGGGCTTCCTGGCACGTTTCGTGACCTTGCGACACTCGTCATAAATTACTCAGCGTGTGTGGGTGAGCGCTCGTCCAGACATGAACACCACACCTAGTCATAGTTTATACCTGTTACTGTAGAGATTTACTCTTTAGAATGCAACTGAATTAGCTAGGGTGAGTAACAGGACTAACTTGCGTGCAACAGTCGCATGCATTGGATAGACACTAGGCAAGTGAGTCAAGATTTAAATTATTCTGTGGTTCCCTGTGGGTGACGGAGGAGGGTCTGTACATTAAACTGTGGGAGAGACTGAATCCTCTGAGGCTCAATGTGATAAAATCGATGACATTTTTGATTAAAATAATCTAGATTTATGTCAAAAAGTTCAGTTATCCAAATGATCGTCACCCCCCAGAGTTTATAGAGCATGACAGCGACGCCCACTCTGATTCCAGGAGTAGATTTCCAACTCGTTCTCTCCATTGCTGTTTCAGAAGAGCCACATAAAAAGAGATTTAAAGGTTCAGTGTGTAAGATTTATGGTGAAAGGGATCTAATGGCAGGAATGTATTTATAAAATAATTCTAGTGATGTTTTCACTAATGTTTTTTCATCTAAATTGTATGAATTGTAGTTTTCTTTATCCTAGAATTGGCCCTTTATATTTTAAATACTTCATATGTACATAGGTCCATGTTTTTAACAGTAGTCCAGACTGGACAAACTAAACCTTTTGAGTTTTTATGAGAACTGAAGTTTACCGCAGGTGTCTCTCTGTCTCTCTCTCTGTCTCTCTCTCTCTCTGTCTCTTGCTCAATTCGAAAAATGAGTCCAGGTAAAACATCAGGTTTAACGTGGAAGCGGGAGTGGCTATCAGGCCACCGTCACACAGTTTGAGAATCACTGAGCTAGTAGATGAATCATCATCAAAAAAAAAAATCAAAAATACTGTAAACACAAAAAAGAGTGAAGGAACCACACACCCCATAAACCATTGTAATGAATCCTTTAGGGAGAATAAACAACACACTGCGTGACTACCATCCTGTTTTGGCTTTATCAATGAGATGTGAGAAATTATATATAATAAATTAATTAATATTTCGACTGAACCGTCAAGATTAAGTTCTCTGGTAGTTTGGAAACTAAAAGAGTAAAAAAACCATTCCGGCGACTTCCAGCGCACTTTTCTGATTCAACCCAGAGTTGGAATATATTGTAGTTTTGTATGTATTTGTACAGCATTTTATCCAGTGTGTAGTTTAGTAACCAAGTGTATGCTGAATGATCTGATCAGTCAATGTGGTTGTGGTAAAAAATCAGAGACGTCGCTATTACACCTGAGGATTGTGGGTAGTGTGGTAATTCAGCTTGATCGCGAATAAAACACATTTATCTTCATTTATCACCGACTGAACTTCTCACTGTTGAGCTCTACTGCCTTTTGAATAGTTGGTTTAAAACTAAACATGAGCAGCTTAATCTGGAAATTGTTTTTTTTTTGTGCAAAATGATAACGTCAGAATTTTTTGGGGAAAAAGCTTAAAAGCAACGTGAGTGGAGGCTTTAACTGGCGAAGAGTTTCATCATCCTGCAAACTTCAAATGCTTTTCAACTAACATGAGGGTGAATCGGTAATGACTGGATTCTCATTTTGAGTTGAGCTGTTGCTTTACGTTCTTGAGATATTTAGACTCAGAGCAGTATTTCTCTTTGGTTGAGTGTTTTACATTTTTCAGCAGCGAGCCTTGATATGGAGCCCTGAACATCGGGCCCCCCCGCTGGAGCAGGGCTTTTCTTCAAAAAAAAAATTCCAGTGCGTTTTAAATCTTGAAAAGTGAAATAGCCTGAATTTCAAAAAGCCCAGTCTGAACACAAGCACTGCAAATGTACGAGTCTAATCTTTGATGTTCATCTTTTTTCTCAAGCGATTCCCTGAAAAAAAAAACAAAAAAAAAAACACATTCACCTCAGGATCACCGCACTTTCAAACTCACGGTGGTTTCTCTGTGTTCATGTATAATCAAACGTATCACTGGACAAACTTCTGCAAAGCAGCAGAACACGAGGTCTTTGGTCTGCTGGGCATGTGCAGGTCAATTAGCAGCGCGTGTAGACTGCAGACTCCCTCCCTCCGCTCTTATTTCATGTTTCACAGCAGCCACTATTGTTGCTGTCCCTAAAATCCCCAGACAGCTGAGCTCAGCGGCCTGCGCTACTACCACCAAAAATAATGAGAGTAACTAGTCACCGCACCGTGGACAAATATCCTCTTCAGTTCGTCAGATTCACAATAGCAGGACAAAGACACCAGAGCTCATCACTGCCTCTTACCTCAATTTTGACCTTATGAGGTGTGAAGGGGGATTTATAAACCATAATACGGAGGAAAGAAAACTGGAATCGAAACATTACGTTCACTGGGAGTTTGGAAAGTTGATGCAACATTGTTCACCTTGTTCCATCCAGAATATATATTCACTTTTAGAGATGGTCACCGTGAGCTCCATTATGGTCGGCTGAGGCTGAGGAGCGGGTCGTCCACCAACCAGGACAGTGGTTTAATCTTCAGCTGCTCCGGTCTGGATTCTAAAGTGTCCTGTCAGGACACTGAACCCCGAAATTTCCCCTGAGAGCTTTGACGAGCACAAGCACAGCACATAGTAGCGCTGGATGAATGGATAGATGAGGCCAAGGAAGTGCTTTATGAATACAGAACATTTACACTATTTAATCTGAATCTATGTTTTCATTTCTAAACACTTCAGTGTTATGTCTTCATACAACTAAAATGTCATAGTAGAAATTTAAAAATGATAAGAGCTGAAAAAATATGTTGGTATATAATTTGAGTGTAAGCATCATCAAGTCTTCTCCCCCACCACCTTTCTTCTAAAACCTAAATAAAAAAAACTGAAGTGCACGAGTTAGCATTGAACATGACTTTATAGTCGTGGCTTGCAAAACCGTCACCGCTAAATCAAACTTTGCTTAAAGCTGTGTTTATTTTATTTGAATGGCATTTGAACCTCTATCCCTGTTTGACCCATATTGGATGAAAGCAAAGGGAGGGAACACAAAGCAGTGCAGGTGGCAGTTAATCTGCTGAATCATTCAATTCCCAGTCAAACGTAAATAAGTGGTGCGGCTTAAGCAGAGTGGTTTTCTACAAGATGGATCATGCATTTTCATTTGCAGCCATCATTTAAATCAAAGACTTCATTTGGGACATTTATCGGAGAACGTCCGTTCTTTGTGTTTTTGGTTTTTGGTCCATGCCAGTTTTTCAATTGATCAAAAGTATAACTGTCATTCATTTTTAATAGAGTGCTAAATTCTCTGGATTTCTTTTAACACCCAATAAAACACATCCGCAACTATAACTTCCTGCGCTACTCACCACCTGGAAACCATTTTGGGACACACCCAATGTTTGTGTTTCCACGTTGCTAACTGCTGAAGAAATTAGGCAGGAGCCCAGTATGCTGACGTCTTCATCCACAATCTGGCTCGGCTGGATTTATTTACACCACTGACAAAACTTGACATGGCAAAACATGGCAGGCAGCTAGATACAAAGGTGCCACTCCTTTTCATTTGTCGGTGAAAAATGCCTTGAGGGTTAAAGGACCAACAATATCCAGGATGGGTTGATTTGCATTTGTTCCGCTCCACGATGAATAAACAAAAAAACTTACAAAGAAGTAACTGTCCGATGAACACAAACAGGTTTCTATGGATTGTCACTGGGGGCTTCAAAAATACTTTAATCTGAGACGGACATCTATTTTTACACACTGACTGAAATCTTCTTTTCCTTGTTGATCAAATTCAAATATGACAGTAGATGAATGGATGACTATCAGACATCATGTTCCACTTTGAAACGCTTCGTTATTAGGTTTTTTTGCATGTTTTTTTACCATATTTATTTATTTTCCTGCCTTCACATTTACATTTACTGTGTTCTATTGTAAATGCGTTTGATATTTCACTCTGGGTGACATGTTTACACTTAATGAAGGCCAAAAATAATAATCATCAAAAGTCACCAGCCTCATTGACTCAGAATTGGCTGCGTGTGCCAATTTTCGCACTGATTCATTCAATTGATTTTGAGATATAAGTGAACATTTAACCTGCTGCTGGATGTAATTACTTAATGAATTAAAGTTATATGGGTTCATCCTCATGGGACATTTATATCTGTAGTTTTAATTGCAAATCAATCCATTAGATAATTGGTGATTTAAGAGCAGGAAGGTAGCTTTGAAAAAGATTAAAGTTGAGCTGTGTGAATCCATATACAGTCCATACATCTGCCCATAGATATAATCATATATGTGTTGTAACATGATCAAAGACTGAGCTGTTTCAAACCAATTTTCCACAACCCCGGGCAGTGTGTGTTCCACCGGCGCAGTTTGCAGAGTTTCATGACACCTCACTCTTACACAAGACGCTCACTCATCTCTGATGAGACCTCTGACGAGAGGTAGACCCTCAGTGACATCTGCCAGACGGTAGATCGGCCAAAACACATTACTCACAGCATTATTTTCAGGTTCTCATACACAGTTTGAGACTTGGAGTCTTCTCAACAGGGAACAAAGCAAAGCTGTTAGGAGGAGTGGCTGCTCTGCACGCGGCGATCGTCAACCATTCCAGGTAAAGTTCCTTTGAGCAAAGAGACAGCGTGTTCTGGATAGATGCAGAAATGTTATGTGTTTCTGGCTTGTTTTGAATAGAATTTAATTTTCAAATGAGAAACGATTTACCATCAGCCAAACAAGATGAGTTTTTCCATAAAAATACTAATGAAAGCTCTTCTCCCCTGCCGCCCTTTGTGCTGTAACCCAAATCACAGTGTTTTTGTGTGTCCGTTTCCAGGTGATTACTGGTGACTCATCACACAGTCAATTACAATAATATGGACGATTATTAACATATTTAAAGTTATCGACTTAGCATTGAAGATAACATTATTGTTGTCGCTTGTAAACAGTCACCATTTAGTCAAACTTGCTTGTATAAGCTGTTTGTGTTTATTTATATCTGAATGGCATTTGAACCTCTCTGCCTGAATAACCCATGAGGGATGAAAGCAAAGGGAGGGAACACAAAGCAGTGCAGGTGGCAGCTATTCTGCTGAATCATTCAATTTAAGAGTTGTTTTCTTACTTTGCAACCATCATTAAAATCAATATGCATATTTTCTTATGCAGTAAATGTTTATATGACAACAGATATATTTACAGCGTATATTCAAGAACAGGGGGCTCTGTAATTTATATCATTTAAAGGTATGCGAAGTGGCAAAAATAAATCATCCATCCAACCATCATCTACTCTGCTAAATCTTTTAGGCTGGCAGCGGGGGTGTTGCCAATCCCAGCTGACATTGTGCAAGAGGCGGGGTAAACCCAGGACAGGTCACCAGCGTATTGCAGCGCCAACACACAGACACGAGCATCCATTACCTCACGTATTCACACCTACGGTTGATTTAGCATTCCCAATTAGCACTCTGCAGTATTCAGAGAAAAACCCTCCCACACACACACAGGGGAAAACAATTCGGTTAATTATAAGTAATAATTTAAATGCTAATTCCAGCATTCCCTATCAAACTCCTGCACTACCTGTATGACTCTATGGAGTGTGTCATAACAATACAACATGTCCTGCATAAACAGCTATGGTTTCATCCTTGCACATCTTTGTCCAGCTGTTATTTCCAGGTAAACTTGTAGTCTGTGTTTATATAAAGAGACTGAAACCGAAGTGAAACGGCCAAAAAGGTACGAGCAAAAATCAAATCTGTAAAGTTAATTCTAAGTCAAATGTCAAAATGTACAACATAGAGTCTGATGTAGAACAGAGAGTTAATTAAGTCAATGAGCAGAAATGCACGATGTAGATTTTAAAATAAGTATGTTAGCTCTGATAGCATAAACACTAATGGAGGACCAGACTGAGCTATAAACCATGGGAGTATTGAGAGTATGAGGGGATGTATTTGTAAAAATAGATAGTATATCAGTATATCACAAGTAAAATTAGGATTTAGGCAAATAAATGTTTTAGTTCTAATCCATCGTGCAGTCCCAACAGGTAGCCGTCTGTAAATCATTCATTCATTATAAATATCCTCTGTAATGATGAGGAGTCCTGCAACAGATGGTTGAGACGCCCGCAGAGCCCCGATCTCGACATCATGGTCTAAGTTACAAGAGGAGACAAATGGATCCACAGAAGAAATGTGACAGGTCTTACAAGATGCTCGGAGCATCCAACTACCCTGGAGCCCTGGTGCAAAGGTGGTGACACTGCACTTTTGTATGAAGCTAATTTAAAAACTATTTCAATAATTTCCGAAAGCATCCTCACTTTATTTTTAGTGTGCATTTAAAACACACACACTTGTTTCTGTAGCCAGAACAATGAGTGTATTTTTATAGCCTGCTTCTACTTCTGTACTTTTAACTGAGCTTTTCTTTTTTTTATAAAGGCAGAATTTAATATTTGTACAAGGATTTTACAATGAATAATCTCAATACATCTTCCACTACAGATGATATGATTCAGTTTTACAACTCATTTATTTTACTATTATTTAATCAGAGTATTTTTATCAACTCATTTGCAAATTTTTATTTGATGTCATTTTAATAGCTTTTTGCAAAACATTTTTTTTTTATCACTGGCTGTTAAATTACCTTAAAGTGCAATTAATTTATTTTTCTAAAAAATATAACCACAAACCAATTTCAGAAAGTATCTGTTAAATTATAAGAAAGTATTCAAATGTGGTATCACCCATACCAGAAGTTTATCTGGACCATATATATATATTTATATACATATATATATATATAAATATATATATATGTATATAAATACACACAGCCATGTTTCCATCTGTTTATAATCTCACTTTAATCCCAATTAACAATTTCCACGGCGCACAATCACAATTTCACATAATCCCATCATCGTGGATTGACACTAACTACGGGGGGGAACCATATTCACCACAACGCTCCCGCGTCGCACGTAGACGACGCAGCGTTAGCAGTAGCATTAGCTGCAGGCGTTAGCATGTCACTACGTCGCTCTCTTTGAACGCAGACTGGATTAACAACACGAGGAAACGGTAAGAAGTCGTTCGCAGCGTCGTCGCGCTGCCGCAGAGGGAACGAGTGTGTTTTCTTTCTTTCTTTAAAGTTAACCCAAGACAGCCGAGACAGCGTTAGCATTAGCTAGCTGCGCACAACTTCACTTCGCCCTGTATCGAACGAGCTAACACCACATCACCCAGCTAAGCTAAGCTAAGCTTAGCCTAGCTAGCTAGCTAACCCTTAACCTTTATGCTGCAGAAAACGTCGCTACTCACATTTAGCTTCATTTCCTGGAGAGAGTTCATGACGCGTGACGTGTGATTGAACTTATAAATGAATCCTCAAGCCACGTGTTCTCCTCTGTCAACAACAACAGCTACTTATGAGAACTTTGTTAAACATAAACTCTTGTGTTTGACCTGGTTTATATGGTGTCAGACACCATCAGTCGATGCTTGATCACAGTTCACTAGTTTCTTCTACATCACTAAACTCTTAAATAAAATAGTTTCCTCTAGTTTTTAGAAAACAACTCGACTTAATGTTTGTGCCATTGAAGCTAAATATTGAACATTGTGAATTTAAAGTATGAGGAAAACAAGGTAAGAGACAAAACAACCAAATAGAGGTTATGATTAAATATCGTTAGATCACAGGCTTAATTAAATCGTTTTTTAAATCTTATTTGTTCTTAGATTACATTTTTATTATCTCAACGCTCTTCAGAAGTTTATCTGGCGTCCCGAGACGTTCACGGATCCGTACCAACAAACGTTCAATTTAGCAAAAGCAGTGAATTCTCACATTTAAGAACCGGAAACCGCCAGAAAATCTGGTATATTTAGTCAATTAAATCAAGTAAAACTGCTAAAATAAAAAATTTGAATATCTGTGTTTTCAGCTTCTTTTGTATATTCAGATCTAAATTGTGCTCGTTTTGAAAGTGTTGGCCTCGTGCACCATATCACAGTTGTTTGCTCGGGTGTAAGATTAACAAACGACAATGATGCATCTGAAGAGGCAACGTTGATCCACTTTGTTGAAATGAATGGCGTATATATTTATTTACTTAGTGACATCAGCAGCTCTGTACAAGATCATGTAGTTCTCAGTGTTGGATGACACAGAATTGCTCAAAGAAGTATTTGTGCCGACTTGTTTAGTTTCTGCGGAGTAGCCACCGCAAATTTCCTAGAAAAATAACAACATAAGCATAACGTCACAGAAAGTAGTTATTGAGAAATACAGAATTTGTTACCGTCATGATACCCCATTTCTTTTGAATAAATAGTCAGTTATTTTTCAATTAATCCGTTGATGTTTTTTGACTAAGTACTATCTTTAAAATGTCACCCATTGTCAGCAACACTTAACGTAACAGTTTTTCATTGAAACTGGGATTTCCCATGATAGATTGCAAACGTGAAGTTAACAGATTTACAATCAAATTAATAACCTACTGCCACAACATGGCAATAATATCATGTCTCCTCCTACAGTTGGACACCAATCACGACAAAAGTCACATAAGCAACGATCGCTTGTCAGTTGTAGTTAACGCTTTGCACTTGAAGTAAATCCATCTTGTGCTCCTACATTCAGCTCTTGAGGGAATTCTAGCTGTGTAGCTCACAGGCATCTCACATTAGCGTATCCTCCTCCACTAAACCAGTCCATCTTTACTGTAAACTCAAAAAAGCTAACTAACACTATTTACCCGTCAACACAGCTCGGTGGATCCCTCTGACTGTCTGTTTGCACAGTTCCCTGCAGCACAACCCATCCCTTAAACCCGTAGTCAAACATGAAACAATAAAACTAAATGTTCTCTCAATACTGGCGTCTCTGCATCAAGCGAGTCCACAGGTAGCAGTCGATAACGCTCTCTGTCGTGGCTTGTTTGTTTTTATTTGGGCTTTTTTAAAACCAGAAAGTACTTTGGTGTTTCCTGTTCAAACTGACACACAAATCACTGGACATTGTTTATTAACTGTACAGCAATGTATTTCACAAACTACTATGAAGACACAGCTTGACCCCCCCCCCCACCCTCACCACACCAACAGAACACCAATTCATTTCCTTTTCCAACAGTCAGCTCCAAACATTTTCTCAGATCATACTGGTTCAGTTCAACGCTCTTAAAAACAAGGGGATGTCCATTGTGCCATCATCCTTCCAACTAAGGGAACCGCGGATTATCTGTTAACTGACATGTGGGAGGTGAAGAAAAGGAAGGAATGACTGATAACAGTAAATTACTTCTCGTGTATTCCCCCTGCATTTTTCAAACAGTATCTGATTCCAACAGGGAATGAATCAACACAAGGAAGTAAAAAAAAAAAAAAAAAACCTACTTAAGTGCACTTAGCCTGTCTCGTATGACAAAAAAATATTTGTTGCTGCAACCGTTTCCCAGGCATCTCTTGGCATTGTCAAATTGATATTAATGTTGTCAACGGTTTTTCTCACAGGAGATGTCGTCTGTTTGTGGTACCGGCAATGGCTTCCAAGATGAGCGACAAGAGGTCACAGAGAAACAGGCAAGCATCAGCACGACAGATGAACACTTGGAACTGCGTGTGTGTGGGAAATCATGAGCGTACCTGGTATTCACATGCATCTTGGATGATCCGATCACAGTTCACACCTGACGTCGTCACGTTGATCTCGAATGACCCCCTGTGATATAATTGATCCACTCTCTAAATAAAGACGTGCGCTCCAGACAGAGAGCCCACGCTGCATGAGATGCTGAGCTTATCAATTTGCCGTGTGGAGCTCTACAATGAAATAATGTGGCGGTCAACGTTGGTATCATGGTGGGCCCCTACAAAGAAATCAATGTATGGGAGACACTGTGTGCGTTGACACCTGTACTGAGATGCTGCTTTCAGCCATGCACCGAACTCCGTATTTTCTCCTGACATTTTCCAGATGGGCTGTGTGTGTGTGTGTGTGTGAACGCAAATGTCCTAGTTTCAGTTCCATGGTGAAATGAGAGTGAGAGACGCGAGTAAATGACATTTCCTGCTGCATTCTTTATACTTGACGAGCAAAGTTATGATGGCAGTTGTTAATACCAGGTCTGAACAAGGCTTTGGAAACGCACCTGAACTTGAATGTCTTCGGGAGAAATTACAAAATGTACAACTCAGTAGCGGTCACACACACACATACTGATTTATGTGTGATAAAATGTGATAAACTTGAGCTGTGATAAAGCCGTCAACAATTTTGTGTCTGTTCCAGGACCTGGCGCATCCACGACTACTCATCCCTGAGTTATGTCGACTCTTCTACCAGCTGGGATGGGTGACAGGGACGGGCGGAGGGATCAGTATCAGACGAGGGTTTGTATCTAGATCAAGTTTTTGTAGAATAATGTGGAGGATCAGAAATATTACATGATTTTTATGCTCATATACTTATCTGTAACTGTTTATTCCAGCTTAAACTGCTGCTAAATGGGCCTGTTATTCCAATTTAATTACGAATTGGCATGCCATCGTTTAACTTCTGAATTTGCATAACTTTGACAGTTGTTAAGATGCTACTAAATGCTGTGAGGGATTTTTTTTTTTTTTTAAACTTTGTATGCTGACAAAAGTGCAGCGGGGGCTAATGCGAGGTCAGTTTTATTGGTTTTGACAATGTGTGTAAATTTAGGGGAGAAGATGGAAGGCCACGGTTTTGCCATAATGAAGCCGAATTCAAACTGAAGACTTTGACAGGTTATTACAAACGTCTTTGAACTGTGTTATTTTGGATGGCAGCTACAAAGAAGGCACCACCCATTAGCAAATCCTTGCCTGAAATGGGGACTGGCAGACATTTATAAAGGCCCTGCCGGGGAACCTGATGAAACCTCACGAAGAAACCAAATAAGATTCTCTGACTGCCGCTCCACGTATGCTGCTGTTTCATTCTGACAGAAAGAAAGAAAAAAAACTGTCACTCTAACGTGATTCCAGACAATTTTCTTTCATCTTGTTAAATTATTATACTTTGAGATTTAGATAAAAATAGGCAGTTCTCTGCCGAACTCCTCTGCTGGATCTCTGTAAATGATCATTTCTCAAAAGAGCCGTGGGTTTGATGACTATTTTCAAGTTGTCACCGGCTCGAATGTGAACCACAAGGTTGAGCTCGTCCTGCAGCTGCCTTGGTTTGAAAAAGTTTATGAGGCCAGCAGGCAGAGTGACAGTCTTTTAAGATTCTTTGCACTTATATTTGAGGGCTACTACATTTTACTATAAAAACGCATCACTGTTACTATGTCTGAGAAGTTTGGGCCCCATTTGAGTTTAAAAACTCTTTGCTTCCTGATTGGTCGTGACTAGCAAAACAAAAACGTTGTAGCATGGACGTAACCGTAGATTACATACATACTATGTATATATATGTAAAATATACAATTAAATCGGATCAAACAGAATCCAGCTTACCCCTATACTAATCAAAATCTATAATCAAAAATTGTACAAATAAAAGTCAATCTGTGGACCCATCCCACATGGTTTACTATCTGTATCTATAGAATTTAATTTGCGGCTGCTAGTAAACTGTTTATAAATGGCTTAATGAATCATAAATGTTCCTATATGTATATTAATTGTGCTTAAACAGTGCTCAGGAATCTAAGAGCTGTGTGGATAGATGGAGCAAACTGAAGAGCCGGGAGTGTTTTCCACAAAAATGAGTGTATTTATATTTTCAGTGAGTGCAGCTCTGAATTTTAAGTTTAGAAACCCTGTTTTTTTCTACAGTTGCTTTGGTTTGACTCAGAGATGAGTCAGAGCCTGAGGCCGCCTCACCAAAACTTGCACTCAAAATCAATATGCTACTCCTTTATCTGGTGCGCTTGTTGTTAGATAAAGAAGAGTACAGTTGCTGTATCCTCTACATTCTATGGGAAAATGTTAAGCTGCTCAAGACTTAAGTTAAAAATATGATCACTGTTTATGTATATTAAACGTCGCAATGCAGTATTACTGTATTTTTCATTTGAGTCTTCTTTCTCAGTGGGTTTTTTTGGGCTACGGCCAGAGAAAGACTTTCCAACAGTGACAAAACAGTAAGTAAGAGTGACACAAGACAGTCACTGAAGTTATTTGCATGTTATTGCATGTCTGCAGCTCAATGTGTACGTCAAGAAAAATGGAAGGATGGAGCCTGATCCACAAAAAGCAGTTTAAGGAAAATGTTCAGTGATGCAGAAACACAACGAATCACTTACAATAGGTGCTTTGGGGTATTGGGCCTTTTATAGATAGATTGAAAAGCTTTCGTGACTCTGTCATGTTTTGCAATAGCCGGATAGATTCAAGCCAGTACACGCCAGAACATTTTCTCTGAGGGGAAGACATAAGAAGCTCGGACCTGTTCAGTGATTTGTTTTCTGTGGAAGGACATGATGCTCCACGAAAATTAAGGCAACACCCCATATTTTTTTATTTGAAAACGCATCAACTGTTTGCAGATACACTTGACGTCCGCACTACTCTCGAATTTAAGAGCTGTTAAAACAGAGAAGTTAGGTTCTGCACTTCAGTCATTGCAGAGATGCCTGAAAACAGTGATGGAGACACTCTGCTTGCTGATTTCGTCTTTTTCGGAACACAATGGAATCTTCATTGATTCGTCGAGCTCTTATCACATGATCCCATTTTGGAAGAAAACAACCGGCATCAGCCTCGACCATCAGTGTAGAACACAACATGGATAATCAATTACAAGCGTTTCTGACCTTGCAGTTAAATCATTCATGCGAAGGACATTTGTCTGTACATGTGTTTGTAGCCTCGGTCTTTCTGCAACCAAATGACTCTGGACATTATGTTGGTTTTCAGCCATGTTAGTATGGGCGGGGAGTAGAACTGATACGGAGCCAAAAACATAGTATGGATGAAGCCTAACACAAAAAAAAGTGTTTTGTCCCTTTACTTGATATTTATTCCAACCATGTTGTATGTTCTGTTTCTCATAGAGAGCACATCTACATCGCACCATCCGGTGTCCAGAAGGAGAGAATGCAGGTGAGCAATTTTTAGCACAGTCTGAATTGTTTTCCCTTCCCTAATAAGAGACGATGACTCATTCAACCAGTTTTAAATGAGCAGTATTCAAATAACTCACACCTCTGTAATATTTGTGCTGCTCAGCCAGAAGACCTGTTTGTGTGTGACATGGAGGAGAGGGACATCAGCTGTCCGCCTCCCTTGAAGAAGTTAAAGAAGAGCCAGTGCACGCCGCTCTTTATGAATGCCTACACTATGAGAGGTGAGTCACCGCAGTGCGCCTATAATAACCACAGTTTGAAGTCAGTCAGCGATAGAGCTGATCAGTTTCTCAATCCCACCTATTACCTTTCAAATGAAGTCAGTGCTGTTCTGCAGCACAAAGGAAGAAAATTACTTTTCATTTAAATACAGATATTTAAAAGGCTGAATGGAAATTAGGTTTTATATACATTTCAAAGAGCCCTAATGTTCTGGAAAAAAAAAAAAAAAAGGTTTAATTTTATTTTAACGTCATAACTGAGGACCAGAAGAAGAGGTTGTGACTTTATTTCCTGCAACTCGACTGTTTGACGGACGCTGTACAACTACAAAAAGCACTGATTCTAGTCTTTTGGATAAATCTGTAATATTATTTTCCACAAAATAATGGTTGTCCATTTGGAATCTGTGGTTTCTCCTGAAATTGTAGTTATTTCAATAAATAAACAGAGAGGACTGTATACTGACGTGATACCACCGTGGGCATCGTAATTCAAGCTCATCGCTTTTTTTCTCTCCCTCTTGCCTCGTGACAGTTATCATTTCAGAAAGACCACACCTGTAGATAACATTTCAAAAAATCCAAATCTGATTTTCCTTTGTTAAAATACAGGGGCTCAGGCAGTCATACACACCCACTCCAAGGCTGCTGTCATGGCAACGCTGCTGTATCCTGGCAAAGAGTTCAGGATAACACACCAGGAGATGATCAAGGGGATTCGCAAGGGCACCTCAGGTTCCAACTATCGGTACGTAATCAAGCAGCGGGGATTGGTGATGTCCAAGTAGGTTCCTGGTCGAGTAGAGCTTTGCAGAGTTTGTCTTTAAGGTGTGGATTTTTGAGGCTGATACAGAACATGGGGAGTAAGAAATGTCCTATCACAACATCCAACCCTATTTAGAAGACAAAATCAAAGACTGCCAATCGAACATCAGACATCTTTGTTGTGGAAATCAACACGTCAGAGTTTTTACCTTCATCGGGGTTAAGAAAAGCTTAACCAAGGTTCATCTTGCAACTGCAAGAAGAGGAAAATTTCAACACACACTGTCGGTATTTACACACACAAGATAATATGGAAATATCTGTTTGGCATCTCGAGAATATGTCCTGTCTTGCCTGACTCACCGAGTAACAGGATAAAACCTGCGGGTCCTTATCTCGAAGTTGATCTGTGTAAAACAGGCCTTGTTCCCTCAGTTCAGGATTTCTTATTGTCTTGTCTGAAAAGTTAACTCCACTTTAAAGCTGATGGCAAATGTTGATGCCTCAAATAGTTTCCAGCCTGGGTGTCGTTTATATTTTCGTTTCCTGTATTTACACAGGTACGATGACACCTTGGTGGTGCCAATTATTGAAAATACACCAGAGGAGAAGGACTTGAAAGACCGGATGGCTCGAGCGATGGATGAATACCCTGATTCATGCGCGGTCCTCGTGCGCCGGCACGGTGTTTATGTCTGGGGTGAGACGTGGGAGAAAGCCAAGACCATGTGAGTATTTACCCCCCCCCCCCCGAGTGCTATTAACCTCTCTGAGCATGTTTATGACTAAATGTGTATTTGTATTAAGAACATTTTAACAAAGAAAACTGACTTTAATGCAAAATACTGCCTCATTTTGTAGGTGCGAATGCTACGACTACCTGTTCGATATCTCCGTCCAGATGAAGCAGTGTGGACTGGACCCTTCTGCCCTCCCACTGGAACACAAAATTTGACACTCGCTGGCGCTTTTTAAGGAGACGTTTGTCGCAGAACGGCCCGGTGGAATTCAATCAGCAGATTGTAATCATTTGCCTTTCACGCTGGTCTGCTTCAAATTTGATGAAATTTGATGGTGCGGGCTGATTCAGGGTTGGAGGAGATGGAACGCTCGTGATCCAGAAGCACCTGGAGGTACGCTGCAAAGCACTGTGGGAAGACTCCCGAGTGAGCTGCAGTCAAATCAACGTCCTCGGGTTCGAATGGTTTCTTATTCCAAGTTTGACGGTGCTGGAATCAAGGTCTTGGTGAACGGCATGAACGTGGTGTATAGCCTTTATTTCAATTGATCTGTTGTCAATAAAAAGAATGGAATGTAAATCATCGTGCGTTGAAAGTAGGTTTCCCCTTCTATAGAAAACCCATACTGAAACCACAAATGTGCAGATTTACAACCAATTATTTCTCATCCTATTATTTTTCAAATATAAGCAGAGTGATGTTTGCTTTGTGGTAAATGCAGCATACGAACAGATGGCTTTGGTCATTTTGTGGAAACCCCTTTCAGGGAAAATAACACTGCATTGAGTAAAAGGACTCTCGCTGTGTCCGTGGATCCTTTCACTCCCACTACATCATTCTGGCACAGGCAGATCCATTTGGCGCAGGCATCGCACAAAGCCTGTAGATCTTTGCACAGCATGCTTTCAGTAGTCAGCGCGCTCATTCTCCCATGAAAGCCAGAGCTGTTGTTCTTTTAACAAGCTCCCTCTGCTGCCACCATCCCATCGCCTCCGCAACTACTCTCTGAAAACAGAGCACTGTCAAATATGCCGCAGGCTCATTTAAAATTGGAAAAGCAAGAAGTATACGTACATAAAACATTTCTTCCTTTTTGTACTAACAATGCCAAGATACCCCGTCTTCTGATTACTGAGGAATTCTGGGAAAATCATTTGAAAGTAGAAACTGAACGCAAGCCCGTGACTAAAAAAATTATATTTAAAGCTCAGAAAGTCAAACATAAATGAATCAGTGATGATTGTCTACAAAAAACAAACTAGTGTATAATAGAGAAAAAGAAAACGACTCCGCAAAATATTCAGCGATGTCAAAATCAGATAAAAATCTGGCACCAACATTTCAAAGGGGTCAAGTGCTTGCAGCAAATGTTGAGGGTATTATACAGCATATTATTATGTATTCATATTAATATTTATTACCTGTCAGCCAGAGAGATTCAGCAACAGACACATAACATGAATAAGAAGGTTAAAAAAGGAGTCACATATTGAGGCTGTGGCACATTAACCATTCTGTGGCGACACCAGCCTCACAAACACTTGAAAACCGCTGCAGTTTAAGGTCCATTTTTTAAAAATGTGGAAGCAGCCCAGAGCTACAAAGCACAGGTGGTCACTTTAGAGATAAGCAGGAACAGAGAAGAACGAGAGTTTGAACTGACCAGAGGTCCATTTTTAAACCTCGGTGGCAAGAACTGTAATTTTCTGACACAACGGCGACAAGATCACGTTTTTGTTTACAGCACATCTTGGGCTTTTATCACCTGAAACTCTCTCGACGTCGTCCTCGGTTTATTCTACGTCAAAGGCTCCACTTTTTCATCCTGAGATATTTTCTTTTTTTCATCACCAGCTGCTTTCCTCCTTTACTGCCGTGGCCTAGCAACAGAGCTATGGGAGAAAAAGTTATTTGCTTAATTAAAAAAAACATTGAAAGAAATTAGTTTTATTAGATGTATTTATTCAAATAATCACAATTAAAGGATTTACTTTGAACAATACACTCCAGATCTCCAGAGTTCAGTGCCTGTCTGAAAGCAGCTGAGGAGACGCACTGATGGAGATAATGAAGTTAATGACTGGGACTCTTGAATAGAACAGAGTCATTATGGAGGTTATCAGGAACACCGGGACCTTTTCCTACTCATCAAACTGCCTCGTCGTTATAATAATGACGTTATTGAACGCTCTGTTCTCTTTAGGTGCACGGCCTTGATTCATGGGATTAGCAGCACCTGGGTTTACTGACTATGTCGTGTCAAATAGGCGGCGGTGAAAAAAAGAGCTGGAGGCCAACTGCAGTAAAACAAGGACGAGAACCCCCTCCCCTCCCCCAATTCAGTCTGACAAGAATCACCAAACTGATCCGAGCCGTCACCATTCTACTGAGCCTCTAAAGTCCACACTGATGATACTTTCAATCTTGTTTATTAAGTTGTTTGCACATGATAATTATCTTGTGCGCACCACGACGGAGAGAACTTTTTCATATCTGAATGTCATGTAATAAAATTCTTGTTGCTCTTGTAGGAAAATTGTGCAAACAAGTTATTTGTCTTGTGTGCACAAGATATTTATTTTGTGGGAACAAGTTATTATCTTGTGCACACAAATTAAAAACTTTGTATGGACTTCAAGGGCCCAGCATCCGGCAAGATCTGGTCGTGGAGAGCTGCATCATCTTCCCAAAATCTACCACAGGATCAAACTAAAACAGTGTCTGTTTGTTCCTGGGTGAAAATAATCACATGGCAGCCATTGAGCTATTTTACACTCATATGGAATGCATTGGCTCCAAAAGCCTCTCGTGTATTTGCTGTTAAGAAGCAAGGTACAGGATGGTGCAAATTATTGCAATGCACAGCGCCATATGCCGGGTGGCGTTCTAAACATCTGCCACATGACGTTCTCATTAAATGCCACTTTATAGCTGGAAGAGTTTAGGAAGTCGTGTGAGGTTGTGGATGAGGCTGAACTTTTTTAACTTGGGGGAAGGATGCTGTGTGTGTCCGAGAAGAACGCTGCAAGATTTTCTTTTTTGAGAGAATAGTTCATGGATCATGCATAGAATTAACAAGAAAGCGACTTCCTCTGTCCCTCAACAAGAGTGAGGAAAAACTACCACAGGGCACGGATGTGTACAAGTGTGAAATCTGATGCAGACCTAGAGAATTAAACGTGGTTCCATGGGGAGATTGCTGGTGGAGGTGTATCTGCATCTGCACCCACAGACACGGCTAACAGCCACATCAGCTGTGTCCACTCCAGGTGCAAATAGCTGTCGACCACATAGCATCTGCCAAAATTCATGCTGCGGAGAGTAAGAGGATAACTGACATGCAGGTTTATCCCAAATTATATGGAAGTGGTAGTGAACAGCCACTGACGGAGCAGCTTGTTTGTCGGGACGTTCCCTGAAAAACACTTTGTAATCTCCACTCGGAGCCAAACCGCTGCTTCCTTTGGGTCGTCTGTGACACAGGCTCCGAGATAACCGTCATAACTTCGCCCCTTGTTTGCGTTTGTGTTTGAACTCCATCAAAAAGCTCATTTTAATTTACATTAGTTCATAAAACTTTAAATGGTGAACACAGTGTGTTCAGGAAAATACACTCTACACACTTGATCCTCTCCTCCTCCATCACTGCAGCCATTAGCAGTGTTTTTTTTTTTTGAGCACACTATCAGTTGCTATGCAGGGCATCTCATTACGAGCGCTGCAGAAAATGTTATTTTCCTTTTCAATCAACTGAGGGACATAGAATAGTTCAAGTGGCGACGTGGCGCCGCTCAACACATAAATTATTTTCAAGTTGTATTAGCGTGTTTGGCACCTGTGTCTCAGGAGAAAGGGAACGCTCGTTGCTGCACCATATTTTTTATGATATTGATTAAATTGTAAAAGTGTTGATGATTTTTAGCTCCAGTAAAAGCCTTGTGACAGGCCGAATGGTGACATAAATTAACGTTATTGACGGTCAGACACAGAAGTAGCACGCGCTCATGTGTGTCTGCCGCTCCGCACCCATCCACGCAAAAAGAAAAAAAACACGTGAAGCTCACTAAGTATCTTAGACTCGACAGTTTTTTGCACACTGACATTCTCATCGCACTTGAATCTGTTTTGATTTTTTTTGTCCGTGCACGCTGCAGTATTTTCTTTAGCCTACTGCAGGATTTAATATTGATTTTTAACACAGTCTTTTGTCACTTCACATTAAGTATTTGATATGGAGGAGTTCAGTCAAATATATAACGTATGTAACATGCATTTATTCTTTCAATGATTCATGTGGCAGAACTGTGGACCAGCTATTATCTTCATTATTTAGGTTGTTTATTTCTGTTAACTGTTACTTTACAACCGTGTTTGGTAAAATTTTCATTCTGCAAATTTAAAAAAATGAATCAGACAGTACAAGAAGTACAATTCTACTTCAATATACGGCTGCAGATGAATTATACTTGATTCACTGACCATTCTTCTGTAGTGGTTGTTGCTTGGTGTGACGGAGGCAGTAACCAGGTAACCAGAGGTTCAACAGGTTTGTATCAATAACATATTGATGCAATACACTCAAGTTTAAAATTAAGAACTAAATCAGAGCTGCGGGGAAACATGATTCGTTTTAACCGAACATTGACAGAATTTACGTTCCAATGATTTATGAAAAATGCTACGTTGCTACGTTAGCTGCAGTAAATGAGTACTGATAAACACGAGACTGAATGCACATAAATATCTATATAGATATACTCTGTGTACATTAATCATCTACAAGATGGAACTTAACGAATCATCTCGTGTTGCTGAGGAAACGTCACTTGTAGTTCAGTGATCAACTCATGCGAACACATCAGACACATGTGAATCACTAATTGTACTAATTAAAACACTTTGAAGGGGATTCGTTTCGGATTCAGGACTTGAGGTGTTGCTGCTGGTTCACGAAGGCGTTGAGACTCACGCCTCTCCGTCAGGTTTTGTTTACTGAGCTGCATCATTTAATCTGGATGGCTGCTTGATGAGCTTAGCTGAGAATTTAGCTGAGGTGAGTTGTGTCTACAGAAACAAAGTGTGCCTTGATTTCTAGCCACAGTTAGAGAAAAATTACTTATTTTCTTAGATGTCCTCAAACAGTAATGGTTTTAATGTGAATCAGCCGCCGCCTCAGAAAAACTTATCGTAGCAGCAGCAGCAGCACTTTGCTCTGGGCCATCGTCTTCTTCTCTTAATCCCTCCGCCCAGACCTCACTTTGTTTTCTCGCCTGCTCTGACTTTGCTGATAGAGATGTGACGAACCTCCCCTGAAAACCTCTGTTTGCAGATACACACAGTTTCAAATTAAAGCAGCCAACAACAACAACCCGAGAATGTCTTTTCAAACCACTCGACATCACATATAGCTTCAGTTATATTCTAAGTTTTGAATATTTTTTGCAAGTCATTAATTGAGATTCTCAATTCGCAAATGTGAATTACACTCTCAAATCTCATTATTAGTGAAATCCATATCGTATAGATTATGTTCAGGGTCAGGTGACAGGAAACCAGTGAGGGATTTACTTTGTTCTTTC